ACCAAGGCGGCCTCCGTTAAGATGGCCGGCCTGTCCACCCCCTGCTGCCTAATCCTCTCGTGACATCCCCATAATTGCCGTTTTATTCCACTGCAATGTGACACCTCATAAGAGGACTTAGAGAAGGATTCTGGGGTCGGAGAAAGACTCTGGGTGGAGAGTTCAGGGGCACGGCCATGTGTTAAGCTAAATTTGGAGCCCTTCTGCAGACTTCAGTGGAGTTGCTGTGGATTTACACCCCCGTCCGAGCAGGTGTCAACAGCTGGCCAGGCTCCCAAGCCGTTAGGAAGCACCGCTGGCATTTGACTCTAACTGCCCAGGCCCAAGTGCGTTGCGTGCTGCTTGCCAGGCTAGCACTATGCTTCTCTTTCGTTTTCTTTTTCTTTCTTTCTATTCTCTCTTTTCCTTTCTTTCTTTCTCTCCCTTCCTCTCTCCCCCTTTTCTTTTCCTTCCTTTATCCCCTGACTATAAACTGACTAGCAAATGGATCGCCATGTTCTCCACTCTCTCTCTCCCACTAACATCTACAAATCAAGGTAAGGTTACGATGGAAGAGCAGAATCTAGTCCAAAAGCTGTTCTTTCATTTTCTTCCTTTCTCACTCTCCCTTCCTTTTCTTTCTCTTCCTTCCTTTCTCTTTCCCTTCCTTTTTCTTTCTCTCTTCTTTTTCCTTCTTCCCTTCTTCCCCCTCCTTTCCCACGAATCTACTACGTTCTACAAATGCACCCATCAAATATCTACTCTACTCCAGCAATAGGCAGGGGCAAAAGTTTAGGTCCTTTTGATTGTACAGTTGAAATTGCACAACGCGCTAAGCCGGGGCTCCTGCATCTGTGCTTCGAAAAGTTCAGAAAACCACTAGAGGGCAGCAGAGTGACACAGAAGGCTCACTCTTTGGCACCATCCTGTGGTTAAACAGAGTTCTGCAGCTTATTGTTGGTAGACCTCCTGCCTTCTAATGAATAAGATGTGGGTGCCAAGCTCTTCCTGCTACAATGCCTTCCATTTCCATAAAAATTTTTCCTTGTCCTCTTGATAGTATTAGAAAAGCTTTTTTGTTTCCCAAGGCATTTTTTTCAGAGAATTTAAATGGATTGCTGCCGTTTTATGCTTTGATTTGTGACTATGATTTGACTATACTACGGCAAAAGCAGTGGGGGGAAAATCCCTTGGATGTCATCTTGTAAGGTTTTTTCCGTTTGGAATGCAGGGCCCCCTCTGAAAAATGGGGAGGGGGCATTTCTCTTTCCTCTAAAATGGCTGCAAGAGGTTTAAACCACCCGTGAAATTGGCGATAACCTCTATATTTCCTTTTCTTGCTGGAACCTGGTAGTAGAACATTCTGGGGGAACCGCTTGTCCAAAAGCAGGATGAGAATGCTGGTGTCCTGGATCTGCAAATGGGAGCCTGAATTTGATGTCCTTTTATAGGCCAGCCGTGACTTCACAGTCAGTCAAGTAACAATGGGAAAGGGGTTACTAGTGCAGCACCTGGCAGCCAATGGGGCTCCCCGAAGGCTGGAGCAAACCTGGGATTGTGACTCAGGAAGTGATGGTGCCAGGAAGGAGCAGGCAAAAGGTATGGAGCGTCCCTGGCTTAAGATGCACTGCCCCTTAAAAACCTATGTGCCACCAGAGGTAGGTTGGGGTTGGGGGAAGGAGGTGGCCCTAGCATGGCTGCTAGTGAGGGTTGCGTCTGTATCGCAGCGGCCAATTCTAGGGCCAGTTTCTGAGGCCTTTTTGTTATAACAACCCAAGACACAGAATCTGTTTGTTAATTTGTTTATAAAAAGTATAAGCCACCCATCTGATCTTAACAACAGCCCAAGAAACAGTATGATCGATTATTTGGTTTACAAAAATTTATAGGCTTGCTCGTCTTACCCCAAGGTCACTCTGGGCGGCTTATTAAATCCCCTGCCTCGCTCTTCCAGCAGCGGCAATCCTATAGTCGGAGAGATCCATTGCGCTCGGTTTTCTCATTTGGTCTGACTCAAAAGACTCCAAAAAAAAAAACTTGCTGGGAAGTCTGCATTTCTGCTTCTGTATAAAACAGGGAGTGTCAACGCCCAGCCATCGAGAGACACAAGTGTGCCTCAAAAATAGCAGATATTAAAACTGAAGGCAGCTGAAAGACATGGAGATTCTTCTTCTTCTCACTTCTTCTTCCTTCTTTTTCTTCTTCCTCTTCTTCTCCTTCCTTTTCTTGTTTCTTCTTCTTCTCCTCCTTCTTCTCCTGCTCCTTCTTTTGCTTTCCTGCTTCCTTTTCCTCTTCATCTTCTCTGCCTACTTTCTTTCTCTCCTCCTCCTCCTCCTCCTCCTCCTCCTCCTCCTCCTCCTCCTCCTCCTCCTCCTCCTCCTCCTCCCTTTTCTTGTTTCTCCTCCTCCTCCTCCTCCTCATGCTTCGTCTTCTCTTGCTCCTTCTTCTGCTTCTTCCTGCTTCCTTCTTCCTCTTCTTTTGCCTTTTTGCTTTGTCTTGTTCCTCCTCCTCCTCCTCCTCCTCCTCCTCCTCCTCCTCCTCCTCCTCCTCCTCCTCCTCCTCCTCCTCCTCCTCCTCCTCCTCAGCATATTCCCACAAGGGCAGGATATGCTTTTCAGATTATTGAATGCCACTTTTCACGGTCAGCTGCGTCTCCAGGGCGCAGGCCCATGGCTTGCATTATCTTTGTTGATGGTGTCTAGCCATCTCTGTTTTGGATGCCCACGAGGTCACCGGCCATTGACCTCTAGTTGGTAGGCAATCTTGGCCACAGTGGAAGGTGCTGCTCTCTGGACACGTCCATACCGGCGGAGTTGGCCTTCTCTCATCTTCTCTGTAATTGGTGCCACACCAAAAGGCTGTTGAAGGGTGTCATTTGTGATGTGGTCAAGAAGGGAGATGCCCGATATCCAACGGAGCCTTCGCATTTCTATGGCAGGGAGAGGGAGCTTTCGGTCCCTGTTGTTGCTGCCCACCATTCAGTGCCGTCCTGTGCAATAGGATGCTTGCCTTGTAAATCTTAGATTTAAGACGGGTTGGCATTTGTCTGTCGCATGATACACTGGTTGAGTTCTCACCAACGCATCCAGGCTGCGTTCACCCTTGCTGGCACCTTGCCGTTGATGTAGCCATTGCCTTGGAGGTGGGATCCCAGATACTGAAAAATGTCCACCTTCTTCAGGTTTTCTTCATTGATTTGAAGTGTTCCAGGGGTGGTGAGAGTCTCTGAGTACTCAGTTTTCTTGATGGTGGACTCCGAAATGGTTGGCATGGACTGTGTGAAAGACTGAACCCGGGACACCTGCCAGGAAGGCACAATTTGCCTCATTAGCAACATGATGATCAGGAGTTCAGGCAGGTCAAATGCGTACACAACCTATAACCCCAATTGATCCCAACATTTCTGTTGTTAAGTGAGACCATTAAGTGAATTTTGCTCCATCATAGGACCTTTTGGGCCACAGTTGTTAAGTGAATCACTGCGGTTGTTAAGTTAGGAATACAGTTGTTAAGTGAATCTGGCTTCCCCATTGACTTTGCTTGGTCAGAAGGTTGCAAAAAACGTGGCATCTGAATCATACATATGAACCAGTTGCTAACTGTCCAAATGTTGTTCAAATGACCATGGGGATGCTGCAACGGTTGTGTCACAAGTCACTTTTTTCAGTTCCGTTCTAACTTGAACAGTCACTAAATGAACTGTTGTTAAATCTAGGACTACCTATACATTCTAGAGGGATCTAATCTCCCATTATGAGATGAGGTAAGGGCCAAATTGCACAATGGACGCAGGGGTGAGATAGGTTGCTGTTGTTCAATCATGTCCGAGTCTTCTCGACCCCATGGATCACAGCAGGACCCCGCTCCCCATCCTCCACTGCCTCCTGAAGTCTGGCCAAAGCCAAGTCCACTGCAACTATGACACTTTCTAACCACCTCATCTTCTGCTGTCACCTCCTTTTGCCCTCCATCTTTCCCAATCTCAGGGTCTTCTCCAAGGAGTTCCACTCTTCTCCTTGGGTGGCCAAAGTATTTGAGCTTCAGTTTCAGAATCCGTCCTTCCAAAGGGCAGTCGGGGTTGATTTTCCTTGAGGATCGACTGGTCTGACCTCCTTGAAGTCCAAGGGACTCTAGAGTCAATTCATGGCCCAGAGCTGATTTAATGATGTGGTGAAATCATGTCCATCATGAGCTTCCTACCTACCCTCCCACGGATCCTTACTCCGGACTCCCTCACCTGTTAAGCAGTCCAGAGATGTTGGGAAGGTCTTGATATTCTGGGGATGTCTTGGGGTTCCCAACTGGGATGCTGACGGACTCTTTTCCCAGGATCATTTGAATCTAGGAAGGGCTACAACCCGTAATTAACTTGCTTGTCCCATCCTGTCCCCTTTTCAGCTCCTTTTTTTTTAATGTTGGATTTTCAGTTCTCTGTTTTGAAGGACAGCAAATTTTGGGACTATGCATATCATTCTGTGGAATGCACAAAGAATTTCTACAAAGATATAGCTGCAATTTTGTTTTCCTCGTAATTCCTAACATGCAAATTGTTCCCGAGTGCTTTATAACAGACCAATGTTTCCCTTCAATTATCTTCAGTTAATTCACTGATTCAACTGTAATATAGGCCTGTACCACACGCCTCGAGTTGGACAAGCATATTTCATTCTTCTCTAATCTCTTCTGCTGCCAACAAAGCCAATGCAGTCCCAATGCTGCATCCACAGAGGGATAGCATGAAGATCACTAGAAGTGATAGTAATGCTTTATACTGCACCAGTGAGGTCATACTTGGAAGAAGACATCCAGTTCTGGTCACCATGATGCCAAAAAAAAAAAAGAGTGTTGAGACCTTAGAAAGGGTGCAGAGAAGAGGAATACCTGCATATATTTTAAAAAAAATCCAACGAACTGATACATGAGAACGGTCGTACATTTAAAACAATAGTTTCCTCTTTCCTGTCTACCCTTTGAACACCTCTATCATTTGTGCTTCCTTCCAGGGACCACTGTGTTAAGATATGGCCATAGCCCCTCTGCTTTTCCTGGCGGCCCTAGCATTCATCCATCACCCCCTGTTGGTCAACGACATCACAGATTTGACCACCCTAAATCGTCTCCAGGAGCATGAGAAACGGCTAACTACGGAAATGGGGCACCTCCAAGTGGAAATGGACCAGAAGAACTGGAACTGGGATCTCAAACAGAACCGGGAACAGTGGACAGCGGAGGACCTCGACATGGCAGATGGCACCTGGGATGGGTGGCCTTACGTAGGGCTGGTCATCGTCATCCTGTTTGGATGCTGCAGACGCACCGTTGCAAGGGAGCCCAGCGACGAGTCCAGCACAGACGGCTCCAGCACCACCACCAACGGTGAAGACGACTTTGAAGACACCGATCCAGAACCGGAAGATTACGAATCCAAGCAGAAATTGTTGGAGGCTTTCTATGAGCAGCATATCGAGACGGGCGATATATCCAGTTTGTGCGATTTTGTGGAGATGTTAGTCAACGACCTGCTGGAAGAGAGCCGGGGTCAAAACATGCTCTTGCTGGAGAACTGCATCGGGGTGGGCAGTGCCTTTGAAGGGTGGTCCACGGAGGTCTCGAAAACGTTCTGTGTCCTTGTGCCTATACTGCCGCCCAAGGGCCACTCCTTCCACATTGAAATGAGTGACTCTGAGGGTTCTCCGGGCAAGCATGGCCACATCTTGGTAGAGGCAGAGTGCCTGTGTAAGAGAGAGAGGCTGCTGGGGGATGTGATGTGCTCGCTCCATCATCCGGAACGAGAATTGAGCAAACAAGAGCAGAGCAAATCCCTGATGCATGTCCTTTGCACCAGTTCCCACTTGGATGGGGAGAAAACCACCCAGTGGTTCCACGCTCTGGTAAGCAAGGCATGGGACGCTCTCGGCCAGAAATACAACTCAACTCTCACCATCCAGAATTCCAACAAAAGCTGCCGGCTGAAAGTAGAACTTCGATCCAGGAAGGAGATCTTTATCGATATCTTACTCGGCGTGCAGCAAGGAGACTCTCTCATCTTCCTGACCACCGGAGATGACCCAATGGAAAACCTAAACGGTATAGTTTGGCGTCGAAGTTTTGCCGTTCAGGAGCTGCTCTTCTTCAAGTGGGTGAGCCAGCGAGCTCCCAAGGACAGCTGCCACCTGAAATGTCTTCAGATCCTGGTCTTTTTCAGAGAGTCCAGTGGGATCCCGGACAAGAAGAACCCGCTGCTCACAAACTACCACTACAAGACTTGTTTGATGCACCTCTTGCTTCTGGGGCCTCTGTCCTCCTGGGAGCCGGAGCAAATCGCACAACGGCTTCAAGACCTCCTCTTGTACATGAATACCGCCTTGGAAGAAAAATATCTCGAACACTTCCTCATCGGGAACATTGCTCTGCCTATTCAAATCCCTCTGCCCAAGAGCCTCCGAAGCGCTGCCCCGGTCAACCTTTTTGAGCACTTGGTCCTAAGCCCGATCCTTCACAATGAGGCAATGAATGAGTTTGTGCCCATGGTAGAGCAAGTGAGGACTCTCTGGTTAGCACCTGAAGAATAGCAACCCTCCACTCTGTTTTGAAAGGGCAGTTTCCTTTGGCTCATTCCTGAGCCCACCTATCCTTAAGGGAGCCGAAAAGGTGGGGAGCCGCATTGTCTCCAGCATGTGAAACAAAGCTGGTGGGCGAGATGTATCATATCATCGATGGTCCTGGGATGGTATTTGGGTAGGCTTCAAAATGAGCTGGGCAACAGCCAGGAGCGCTTCAAAGAGCCCCTTCAAGTAGGATCGGCTTCCTAGAGCCAGCTATTCTTCAATATTTTTCTACATTTCAATTCCAAATTTGCTGTATTAGACTTGAAATAAAGGTTCCAGCAAACTCTGTTCTTAAGTTTCTTATACCATCCTTTCTGGCAGAGAAGGGATTCAGACGGTTCTGACCGGTTCCAGAGAACCGGTAGCGGAAATTTTCAGTAGTTCGGAGAACCGGCCAATCCCACCTCTGACTGGCCCCGCCAACCCCATCTCTTCTCTGCCTCCCATTGAGTCCCAGCTGATTGGCTGGGTCTTCTTTGAGTGCCCTGCACAGGAGAACGGAGCTGGAAAGCAGGTCAGTGGGGTGGGGAGGGAATGGGGATTTTGCAGTATATCCTTCCCTTGCCACGCCCACCAAGCCACGCCCACAGAACTGGTAGGGTTCTGTGTCTGAGATGTGAAGGCGGAGATGCTGGAGTTTGGAACTTGTTGGTTCCTAGTTTCTACAGGTAGCCCTTGACTTACAACCACAACAGCCCAATATTTCTGTCACTAAGCAAGAGCCGTTAACTGAATTTTGCTCCATTTTACAACCCCCTTTTTTTGCCATAACACTTAAGTGAATCACCATATAGTTGTTACATTAGCAACATAGTTGTTAAGCGATTCTGGCTTCTATGTTGACTTTGCTTGTTAGTTAACTTTATTGTCCTTGCACCTCGTACAATGAAATCAAACACCATCTTCAGTGCACATCATGACCATGAAAATAAACACAAACCACACATCCTTCGCCCTCCACACATGGAAGTTTGCCAGAAGTTCACAAAAGGAGAACACATGGTCCTGGCACACTCCAACCTTCATAAATAAGAGTCAGTTGCCAAAAGGCCAAATTTTGATCACGTGACCACGTGGATGCTGCAAACGGTCGTAAGTGGGAAAAACAGTCATACGCCAATTTTGTCAGTGCCGCTTTGAATAGCCACTAAACAAACTGCTTCTCCTTTAGGGAAATATTTCTGCCTTTTTAAATATTTCACAAAATACTTCACTCTTCTAGGAGGGGTGGGTGCTAACCTTCTACACTAGGTCTCCAAGTTATTCTGCACTCTATTCTATTTGTCAAAAGGCACTGACTGCACTTCCTCAGAGTTATATATTATTTGTCAACTCAGAAATATTTATCTTGTCTTTTAGAGTTGCCAGCAGAAGGGGAGTGGGGACGTAGTGCGTACCTTAGATAATTGCTAGGCGGCCGTGGCACACAAGATTATTACTGGAGAGCATGATTGATGACTCTTGGCTATGGATGTGTCCCATTGGAGAATATACATCTGGGGGTGGGGGAAGACCAGGGTCAAAGGTGAAATGAATGATGTGCCTTAGAGTCAGCTAGCTATCGGGGCTCCGACAATCCACCCCCATTCAAATCATGAGTCTCAAGCCGCATCTCTCAGAGTTTAAAAAAAATCATTTATTAGGAGTGAACATGTCGGCGTTACCTGGGTGCAGCCTACTCTCAGACACATCATTCATTTCACCTTTGACCCTGGTCTTCCCCCACCTCCAGATGTATATTCTCCAATGGGACACATCCATAGCTAAGTTATCAATCGTGCTCTCCAGTAATAATCTTGCACGCCAGAAGCTTCGGCTGTCTAGCAATTATCTAAGGTATGCATTACTCCCCCCATTCCCTTTCTGTTGACAATTCTAAAAGACACGAGAAATATTTTTTGAGTTGACATTAATGGTTGTCAGAATTCTCTTTTCTTGAAAAGAATGGTTGTAACTTCGCGTTGTTTGAAAACCATCCTGCTACTGATATAGCTGAGAATCCTATTTATATCCACCTTCTGAAGCGTAACTTCAGTACTGCAAGCTACTTCTGCAGCCGGCTGCCTAAAATTTGGCAGTTCGAATCTCACCAGGCTCAAGATTGACTGAGCCGCCCATCCTTCCAAGGTGGGTAAAATGAGGACCCAGATTGTTGAGGGCAAGAGGCTGACTCTGTAAACTGCTTAGAGAAGGCCGGAAAGCACTATAAAGAAGTATATAAGTCTAAGTGCTATTGCTCTTCC